TTCTCTTTCAGTTTTCCTGGTAGGAGAGAAATATCTGACGTAAAGGGTAGCGAAGCAGCGAGACACAGTGAAGCCAGTCTATATATAATTACTGAGGAAATCTGGGACATTCCTGCTTATGTCAAAGCAGTGTCCATAACTATAAAACTATAAAACTAGGTTATAACAATATAGCTCTGTATGAGAAAAATAAAGGGAAGGTTTCAGACTACCTACTTTTTCCTTGTTTTGATTTTGAAACTGTAGCACGTACTAGAAATACTACGGTGAAATATTGTCACTAGAGGTTAGCGTTAAAGAAAACAGAGGTGTAAAGAAAACTTAGAAAAGCAGTTTTATAATTGTCTTTTTTTTAAACAAAATTCAGTTTGACATAAAATGCTCAGCACAAAATATTCAAAATCTAACGAGATTTATATGTCTTATTAGAAAAGCAACAATCGTTGTCCCTTAGTTCTCGCAACGACCTTCAGTTGTTCTCTTAAAGGACACACATCTCCAAATTGAATTTTACACATCTTCTTTATGGTTGCCACAGTCTTATTATCTTTCCCACTGTATTAGACTTGGTGTTTTTAAGATATATAAAAAGTAACTATTTCTATAGCAAAAGGTTTTCATTTTAAGATTGGCATAACACTGTGACTAGGGGAATGTAATTCTACAACATTTTAGTATCTAACGTTTGGCCACCTCTTCTTTAGTTTGTCAACTCATCTGAGTAAGACTGTAATCATCGCTTGCTCCTGTCAGGGCCACCATCAGGGGGTGACAACCATGACGGTTGTAATGGGCCCAGCGGTCCTGGAGGTCTACTTTTGCTTATTATTTTGGGCTATCAAAAGATACGGCACATTGAGGGTGTACTCCTCCCTTGCTGCGCCGAATCCGACAATAGCCCGAAATAGGTGTCGTTTGCCGCATGATGTGTGTGTGGGAGGTAGGGGGGTTGGTAAAGGTGCCCCCCCCATCCTGGGTTTCATGTGAGAATTTCCTCTGATCTGGCCCCCTTCCTTGAACCAGCAGGGAGATCAATGGATCTCCCTGCCAGCTCTTACAAATGGCAGCTATTACAAATGGTCCTACTAACTCCTCCTAACCCTGTCACACTAATCCCACTAACGTAGTAAAACTAACCTACTAATTACCAAACGGATGTCTGTCTGCATATCTGCCTGTATGTGCCAGTTTGTGTATCTGTGTGGCAGTGTGCGTATGTGCCAGTCTGCGTATCTCTGTGTATGTGACAGTGTGCGTATGTGTGAGTGTCTGTGAATCTGTATGTGTATCAGTGTGTATCTGTGTCTGGCAGTGTATACACAAATGTATGCAAACGCCTGCATTCAAAAGCCTACATTCACACACATACTCCATATAAAAACATGCTTACATTCAAACACACAAACACTGCTCAGTACTAACTACAACCGTGCAAAGATGGGCAATTTGTGGATCCCCAGCTAGCAAAGCATTCTGGACTTGTACGAAAGATGGGGATCTACATTTTGGCCACCTTTGTGCTAGAAGGCAGTCCAAAAAATTATTCTTGCCCCTGCAGGCCGTCGACAATTTGTAGAATGAAGAGGTGGCCCGGCACACGCCATCTTTATCTTCCAGATGCTCATTCCTACTCTTGTAAGTCCTCAGCCATCAGAGTGTTGATGCCGATTACCATGGCAACGCTCCGCACAACACTCAGACTGGAGAGTTGGAGAGAGGAGCTGCCGCAAGATGAAGATTATGTTGGCTTAGCCCCCGCTTCACTACACAGCATTTGGCAGCCTGCACTATGTCACCGGACCACTCACTCTGGCCACATAAAATGCCAGTAATAAATACAAGGTACGTAGGAGGAAAGAAATTAATAAATTAATGATTAAAAAAATAAAAATCCACAGAATGCAACCCCTATCCTTCCCACATATATACTCACACACTCTGCATCCACTACACACACGCACTCCATCCACTTTGCACATACTGTATCCTCTATACCAGGGGTGCCCAAAATATAGATCCCAAGATGTTATAAAACTACGGTTTCCATGATGCTTTGTCATTTTAAAGGCATGGAAAGCATTATGAGTGTTGAAGTTCTACAACATATGAGAATTTAGCTTTATCCAATACTCAAACGCACTGCATTCACTACACACACACTCTCTGCATCCACTTTAAAAACACACTGCATCTTTGTGGGGAGACTCGGGCTCAGGCTGTGTGGGCAGGCTCGGGCGTGGGCCTGGGGGCCCAGACTTTGAGCTGTGTTAGGGGTCCCAACATTTCTGATGGCAGCCCTGGCTCCTGTGTGTCCAAATTGATCAATTTAGGTTTAAACAGTGACTGGTAATTTTCTAGAAATTTTTTTAGAATATGGAGTTTGTGAGGGAATGCTGGTATGCCGTCACTTGGGCATCAAGGGCTCCTTTGTTTGGGTGGGCTCTGGTGGGGTGCGGCCATTTAGACCGCACAGACTTAGGCTTAGCCTCAACATGGAGAGACAAGATGGTGACCACATGGGTGGGGGTTGGGACTCTCCCCTTTGTGACTCAGGGAGCTGAGTCACCTGTTGTTGACTGTGTGTTAACCCCTCAAGGACACATGACGTAATATTCCGTCATGATTCCCTTTTATTCCCGAAGTCTTGTCTTTAAGGGGTTAATCCCTTTACCTACTGCATAATGTTTTCGTGTGTATGCAAAGTAGGTGTTCTGTGATGGTGTCTCCTGTTGGCTATTAATAGGCTTCGTGTGATTGGCTGTTTGTTTAGGCCCAGTTTGATTGGTTGCTGTTCCAATACTTTGTGTGTTTACTAATGAGTTTACTTGTATACAAATACCTGGGCGTGTCTAATAAACATTAGTTTCTGTTCTACCCTCAAGATGTGTGTGTCTGCTGTTCTTGGGGGAGGGGTGTTAGCTGACTGAGTCTTCGTGAACGGTGACATCTGTGGATTGGCGGTGGGAAGAAGCAGTTCAGACGGGTGTGCTCAGTCAGGGCACAGGGGACCCGTCACAGAGTTGCTCTCTAGAAATGGAGAGCTGATAAATTGACCAGAGAATTTCACATTTTAAGTCAAAATTAACACGTTCGAAAAAATTTGTAAATTTTGTTTGGCTTAAAATTGACCATTCCCTGACCATTTTTCTACAATGCCAGATTTGCTACAAAACCCTGTTTTGCAGCTTATTCCATTTGTTCTGGTGAGTATAGTCTATCCCTGCAGCCTTTTTGCAGTAAACACTGTCATTTCAGAGAAAAGGCAGTGTTTACATTACAGCCTAGGGATACCTCCACTAGCCACTCCTCAGATGACTGCTAGATGTGCTTCCTTCTGCATGGAGACACTGGACTTTCCCCATAAAGATGCATTGATTCAATGCATATCTGTGAGGAGATTCTGTTTGGCATGTCTGTGTTCGTGTGTTTGGCTTGTGCTGGCTCTGCCCCTAATCTGCCTCCTTGACAGTCTCAGCCAATCCAATGCTTTCCTACGGGGAAGCATTGTGATTGGCTTTGATCAACACTTCTGATGATGTGAGCCAAGCAAACAGATAGGGGTAGAGCCAGCAGCAGCACACTGGAATAAAGGTAAGATTTTACCATACTTAGTGGGAAAAGGGGAGAGGGAGCAGGGGCTAGATGGTGGTTTTAACACGATAGGGTCAGGAATAGATGTTTGTGTTCCTGACCCTATAGTGTTAATTAAACTTAATATTTTGGATTCATATTTCAAATGAGCTAATATTTTTTTGTTCTTTAATAAATTGATATTTTATATTTGATTTTTCAAAGATTTTAATATTTTGAATTCTTTTTTTTATATATATATATATTTATCCCAAAATATTGAATCCTTTTAAAAGTAGAACCAAAATTATTAAAGGGACATTATAGTGTCAGGAACACAAATGTTTATTCCTACCACTATAGTTCTAAAACTACTGTTTAGGGGATCAGCCTACCTTAGAAAGGGTTAGAAAGGTGATTTACTCACCTTTTTCCTGTGTTGCGTTCATTTCTATAAGGAAAGTTCAAACTCTCCATGCAAAGCGTGCATTGATCCAGGAAGCACCTCTAGTGGCTATCTGGGGAGTTGCCACTGGAGGTGTAGCTGGACTGTAATGTAAACACTGTCTTTTTCTGAAAAGATAGTGTTTAGAGTGTTTAGTCTGCAGGGAATGACTATACTCAACAGAACAACTACAATAAGCTATTGTGTCTCTTTAAGGTCATTATAAACGATGAAGCTTCTTTCATATGCATCAAGGTTGAAAATGACCCTAGGACCCCAGGACCCTTTAGTAATTATCATATCATTATCATAGCATCCCACAAACACTTTTGATTTGTGGAAGGTGTACAATGGTATAAACAGTGTACAATGGTACCTTTTATAAAGAGTTAGTTTTCGATCATAATTTACTATAATTTTAATTCCTCCTCCAGAATAAATATATTTTACTTTATGGATCACTCTTCGTGCTCGGAAGGCACACATACTTCATCACAAGTTATTTAAATTATTAAAGGGACACTATAGTCACCTGAACAACTTCAGCTTAATGATGTTGTTCAGGTGAGAACTATAGCTCCCTGCAGCCTTTCTCATGTAAACACTGTATTTTCAGGGAAAATACAGTGTTCCCATTCAAAGCTAGGAGCACCTCCAGCTGCAGTCACTCAGAGTGAACCAGAGGGACTTCTGAGTTGATGGAGGCATAATATGCCTCCATCCACTCAGATCTGCTGTGCACGAGCAACCTGTGATTCAGTATCTCCTCCCACCGCATGCAGACACTGGACTTTCCTCATAGAGATTCATTGATTCAATTCATCTCTATAAGGAGATGCTGATTGGCCAGGGCTGTGTTTGAATCATGCTGGCTCTGCCCCTGATCTGCCTCTTTGTCAGTCTCAGCCAATCCTATGGGGAAGCACTGTGATTGGATCAGGCTATCACATGTCAGCAAACTGCTTGTTTTTCCTGAGTCTAACAGCATGCAGATTTACAGCTTCTGGCTTGAATACAGTAAGATTTTTACTATATTTATCTAGGCATGAGGGGCCCACTATAGGGTCATGTATACACGTAGTTTCACTGGTGACTATAATGTCCCTTTAAACAATTCAAGGTCAGAGTTTCTTTTTCTTTATAGCTTGGAATGCACGTAGGGTAGTTTTCAAGTTTGACGAATACCCGGAAATTGAAATAATAACCTTTTAGTTATGCAAATATTGTATTAAACATGTACATAGATATCACATAAATGTTAAGGTTTGAACAGCTTTTTCTTTTCTAAGTAAAATAAACATGAAAGTGAAAATAAAACCTGCCCAACCTTAACCACATCAGCTTAGGGAACACAACATTCTACACTTCCTTATCATTTATTTACATACATATTTACATACACACATATCTAGTAAGGTTGTAGTAAAAAATAAAAAGGAGTAATTCAAATTGATTGAATGATTTCATGTTAAGGTGTAACTTCTACATGTCATAAGTCAAATAAAATCCATGTCTTACATACACATATTCTAGTTTGTTATTCCCCAAAACTCACAAAATGCCATCAAATATATGCAAATGAGCCCTACATTCACTGTCATTTTATTAATAGTCCTACCTATATTTCTGTGGGTTCGATGAACAGATATTTAAACACAGTTGTCCAACCATAATCGTATGTTAGGTATTGAATGAACCATTATCCAACCACAGAGATCGTTCATCCTGCAGTAACTTAGTGTGGTGCTGGCTTGATTTGCAGATGAAAGTATTTACGATAGCTCCAAGATAATATTAATAAAGTTGTACACAAACGTAACAATAATTGTTAAAGGATTTTGATACATTGTAAAATGCACGGCTTTAAAAACGTGTGGCCCTGATGATTATACCTGGAAACCTGCGGGGAATAGGAGAAGGGGAGAGGTGTGTTGCTGTAGCACCTACCCGAATGCCCGACAGTGTCCCTGTATGGGAAGCTCTTTTGTTTTGACCCTTCACTTACTGCCTGGTTAATGAGGTATCTCTGAGAACATTGACGTGAAATGTTCATATGTACGGTCCTGATTGACTGTTTGTGGATTACATCTCCCACCATGAGAGAGAACTAAAGAACAATGTCCCATGTACCTATTATTTAACTCCTCTCCTGTCTGGGCCTGCCATTGTCTAATTTCTCTACTTCTCTGAATTATTTTCTCTTTGCGAGGTGCAAAGAACAGACCTTATGACAGTAATGACAAAAAACTAAGATGGACAATTCACCTCTAATAATTAGAAATTATTTTTTAATATTAATCTAAACTACTTTCTTAGGTGTATAGCTTAAAAATACACCTATAACTCCAACCGGTATCTATTTCTAATGTATTATATTAGCAAAAGTAGACAATGAACTTCAACATGCAAGTCTTTCGCAGGACCAAATAACTCTTTGTAACAATTAGACGTGGTCATGTGACTGTGGGCCAAACAGCCCAGCTCATTTTCCAATAAAAGCTTTATTTGTTATGATACACCGAGTAACAGACAAAGACGTGATTGTTTAAGAAAAATTGTTTTGCAAAGCAGTGAGTGTTCATCGCGTTTGCCGCTGGCTGAGTTCCTCAGATAATTAACAATGTCACTAAGTCTCACTCTCAATAATACCTCAAAAATTGTAATGTGGTATAGAGTGAGGATATTTTAATATGAAGCAAAGGGAAGATGTTAAAAAATAAACATGCAAATATTGTGTTATTCATCCGTTAAAAAGTTACTTTACTTTCGTATGAAAGCATTTCACATTTTAATCAATTCTCTGAAGAGTTCATTGGATGTTTACTTTAAATATAATACTATAATTGCTCCTGTGGAAGAAAATTGCTTTCAAGACTGATTGAGGAAGCCAACCCCCAGAACAAGATATTAGGAGGAGACATTCCTAAAAGAGCAGAATAATTCTGTCTAGTAGTAAAAAAATTGAAAACAAAAGTATTTTAATGTATTATTATTATTATTGGTATTTATATAGCGCCAACTAATTCCGCAGCACTTTACAATATTATGAAAGGGGGGGGGGAATTTACAATAAATGAGACAATTACACAGTGATACAGGATCAATAGGTAGATGAGGGACCTGCTCAACCGAACTTACAGTCTAGAGGAGGTGGGGTACAAATACACAACAGGGCAGCAAGGGTGACAGCCACCAAACAAGGAGGAGAGAGTGGAGTATGGCTCTTTAGGAGAGCAAGAGACAGATATGGATAGGTATAGATAAGGTACTCTGGAAGTCCATAAGCCTTTCTAAACAATTGAAGACTAGGGGAGAGTCTGACGGGGATAAGCAGGCTGTTCCAAAAGAGGGAAGCCGCCCACGAGAAGTCCTGTATAATTTATCTATCAATCCATACGTATGTACATCCTGTCTGTCCGTCCATCCAATTATTGTTTAGGAGATGCTGTAATAGGGGGACCTGTAAGGGCACTTTAACACTATGCAGTTACTTTACAGGACTGTGTTATCAGCTTTCCACACACTCCCGTGTCATTGCATTGAAGCCGGCTACATGTACCAGCCCACTCCCACTAGATCCTAAGCAAGCTAGCCTCCTCTGAAAAGTTAGTGTTTATATGCTATAGATACCAGCACCACCACAATAAGTCCCTTTAAAATTAGGACTGTATCGCAGGTTGCTAGACAAACTTTTGTAAACTAGGAAAACCAAAGTCTAATTCTTTGGACCAGACTGAATTCTAAAACAGACATGTTTGCTTGAATCTCCACCAAATACTTTTCTTTCACAGACACGGGATAAGCAAGGAAGGGGCAGGCCCTGAATATATTTTGGTCTGGACAGCTGCCTTTTAACCTACAAGAAAATATGGTCCTTGCTATTAAAATATAGGTTTCTGCTAAATAAATCTAATATTTATCTTATTAGCAATAGTCATCATGGTTATGGCAATGAATAAAACAAATCAATGAATAAAAACGCAACAATAACAATTCAGATATTAAAATATCTAAAATATTCTGTCCTGTTTGAAATAGCTTATCCTGTTTTATATCTACCAATAGAGTAATCAGGAGATACACAATATAATTATGGCATAATTCACTCGCTGGCTATATTCTTTGATAATATTATAATAAATAAACACCAATTAAAAATCAATGCAATAATTAAGGGTTTAGAAAAGGCAGGTGTTGTCAAAATCACTGTAACATTTAATCATCAGTTTGATGTATAAAGTATAACTTGTTGCAGACATCATGACAATCACAGTGACAATCACAAACATGGTCTGCCACACGATTCTCCCTAGCATAACACGCACCTTCCACTCAACTTTAGATGTTTCTTTTAGGAATTACTTTAAAAGCAGATAAACAGAGCAAGGTTGCTGAATTTATATAATCATAGAGTCACTAAACAAAGCAAAAAATGACCCTTAATATGATAAGTGTGGTTCAGAAATTAGCACATGCTGTAGGTAATAGGGTGTAATATGAGCTAAAGGGTAGATTTTTGGAATAAGGCAATATTTAAAGGGACACTCCAGGCACCAAGACCACTTCTGCCCATTAGAGTGGTCTGGGTGCCAACTCCCACTACCCTTAACCCTGTTTTCATAAACTGCAATATTTACCTTGCAGGGTTAACTCCTCCTCTAGTGGCTGTCTAGTAGACAGCCACTAGAGGGCACTTCCTGGTTCACAGCACAGATTTTCTATAGCGGCGCTGGACGTCCTCACGCTATGTGAGGACCTCCAGCGTCGCTAAAATCCCCATAGGGAAGTATTGAAAGCATGCGCATTATGTCTCACCACGCCGGCGGCCGCGCATGCACAATCGGTCTCCCCCGCCGGATGACGGCGGGGGAGGAGCGTGGGCTGACCCTGGACCAGCGCTGAGGGACATTGGCGCTGGACTCCGGTAAGTCACTGAAGGGGGTCATGATTCCCTTTTATTCCAGAAGTTTGGTCCTTAGGGGGTTAAACCCCTTCAGCAACCTGGGATGGGGGGTGGGAGGGAGAGGGGACCTGCAGTGCCAGGAAAACATTTTGTTTTCCTGGCACTGGAGTGTCCCTTTGAGGTTATGGAGGACTTGGATATAGTGGCAGGGGATGTTAGGGTTAAAAACTAAACTTAACCAAAACTGAATTCTGGTCTTTCATCCCTCAAGTGTTGTTACTCCTGTGACTGTCTCCCTCCAAGTCAACGGTGCTACCATCAACTCCACCACGTAGGCTTGCTCCCTAGGTGTTCTCTTTGACTCCGACCTCTCCTTCAAGCATCATTTCAATCTATCGCCAAATCCTGTCATTTCCATCTCAAAAACATTGCGCGCATCCGCCCCTACTTAACGCCAGATGCGACTAAGGTGTTGGTCCATTCCACTATCCTTTCTCGCCTTGACTACTGTAATCCGCTTCTCAGTGGTCTTACGTGCTCCCAACTTGCGCCGTTACAGTCCATAATGAATGCGGCGGTGAGGCTCATCTTCCTGTCCGCCTGCACCTCCCATGCCTCACCCTTCTGTCAGTCCCTACATTGGCTTCCTATAAAATATAGAGCTCAATTTAAAATTCTGGTTCTTGCTTTCAAATCTCTACATAATGCTGCTCCCACCTATCTATCCTTCCTTATACACAAATATGTCCTGTCTAGGCCCTTACAATCTGCTGAAGACTTACGTCTATCTTCTGTCCGTACTCCCACCTCTGATGCTCACCTTCAAGATTTCTCGAGGGCTGCACCGTTCCTGTGGAACTCGCTTCACTCCTCCGTTAGATGCTCACTCAGTCTCCACTCCTTCAAAAAATCGTTAAAAACCCACTTCTTCATAAAAGCGTGTCAATTAAACTAATACTATCCTTACCTTTTTGTGTCATTTTACCCCACTCCCTCTAGCATGTAACCTCGGCCTCAATCCCTCTGTTCCTGTGTGTCCAACTTGTCTGGTTACAAATACATGTCTGTTCGTCCACCCATTGTAAAGCGCTGCGGAATTTGATGGCGCTATATAAATACCATAATAATAATAATAACATTAACTTAAAGGACACTCCAGACCCTTAAGGCAGTGTAGCTTGCTGAAGAGCTTTACACATGAACAGTGTGTCTCTTTTAAAAAAAAATCTGTACAAAAATTTAAATAATAATAAAATAAAAATAAAATATTAATAATATAAAAAAAAATTATATTAAAATAATAATAATAATTTTTAAAAAATTATAAAAATGCCCACCCCCCACCAAGGCTCTGCATCACACACACAAACACACTCGGCATCACACACTCTGCACTCATACACACACACACTGCACTCATACACACACACTCCGCATTCATACAAACACTGCATTATATACACACACACACTGCATTCATACACAAACACTGCATTAATACACACACACACTGCACTCATAATCACACACACTGCATTCTTACACACACACACACACACTGCACTCAAACACACACACACACCCCATTCATACAAACACACTGCATTATATACACACACACACACTGCATTCATTATATACACACACTGTAAATAAATATTCAATTAATATAATTTTTTGGGGATATAATTTTATTTAGAAATTTACCAGTAGCTGCTGCATTTCCCACCCTAGTCTTATACTCGAATCAATACGTTTTCCCAGTTTTTTGGGGTAAAATTAGGTTTCTCGACTTATACTCGAGTATATACGGTAGCCTTGAAACAACCCCTTGGCTGCAGATAAGAGATCTACAATGTTTGCAAACTGTTATTAGATATAATCCCAAATAAAAAAGACATAATTAAATTTATGCATGTTTTCATTGGGAGCATATATACTAAATGGTGATACTTGCACTGACAGTGATGAGCACTGTAATTATTATTCTCAGTCAGTTTTGCTCTGACATATGACTGAAGTACCATTATAGCATTACCATATTTACTGGGAACATTTAAAAAATGACGTTTTAACTGTGAAACTAATGTGTTATATTAAACAAATAGTTTGTTTCCGGAAATAAATTATTGGTAAGGATATTAAAAACACGGTGGCAGAATGTACACGGCACAGCAATCTAGAAATGTTACAAAAAGTACAAAACAAGCACGCACAAAAAAAGCAGATAAAAAAATGTAGAACACAGCCTGTTTAATTCCATTTTTTTAAATAGTTTGAGTTCCCCTGTTGAAAGCTCCACACATGCCAAAGCGTTCTTTTCATTCTGCTGTTGGCTTTCGTTCTGGGGTGATTTCTTTCCCAAACTAAGTTGATATATTTGAGAGCAGACTCGAGTTGAAAGTAATATCAGTTTGTGTGCTGCAATACTCTAAACTTGGACTCTGCATTCCATACATTCCAAAGTGTCCACGCTATATTTTGTAACACACACTGGTAGAAAACCATGCATACTCCCCAAGTGTCCCACTTTAATTGTGTCAGTCTCTCTGCAATACCAAAATCCTGTATTCTTTATTTCCTGTTCTGGTGTCCTCGTTTTAAAGAGCCTAAAATATTTGTCATCCCTTAGTATATACAAGAGAATCCCATTAATAGATTCAGTTATGTGTATTTATTTAAACATTTTATTTGTTCTTATAAATGGCTTATCCATTTATCCATAATCCTCTCAGCGTCCGAGCCATTCCTTGCTATATTACAACATAAAAACACACACTTCCTAACAAAAAGCCTCCACACATTTTGGGCAATTAATTGCCTGACGCCTCATGTCCTGGGCACCTGATCTGAGAAAGGAGGGGGAAGCCCAGATGGAGTTCCGTTGGAGAGGAGTAAACGGAGACAGTTGTGAAGACAGTTTGTTTTTGTTTAGATATGAATGACAAATTCGGTAGTAAAATAAGTATCGCTTGCAATAAGAGTGCTGTCTCTATGATGGGGTGATTTATAGACGAGAAGTGTGGCGGGCACTCACATGAGTTGCCCCAGCTTAGAGCCGGAATTTTCGGTAAAGCCAAGTGAGAAACTGTTTTAGTTTTACTGCATATCAGGGAAATCTGAAATTCTCCCTCTTTCCTTGATTTCAATGTATCCTTCTTGGTATAATATTTTATAAATAAATAAAATAAATAAACAAATTTAATATCGGAGTTGGGATGTGAATCCAACCTTATTCTGGACAGACAGAATAAATAATTATGGCATTCACCATACAAACAATGTAAACACAATATTTATAACATCTTAATTTCAAGCGTCATTCAGGTAGAGATAGCTAATCTACATTTCTCTAGATTTAACTCTATACTAATCATTACAGGAAGGCCATAATAAACTACCTTAATCCAGGAGAGAATTAACCCATTAATTAGTGTAATGTAATCAAGGGTCGCTGTATGTTTCCCTGTACAGCTAGAAGGCTGCTACTTTGTAACCTAATGCTATAATGCAAGCCAGGTGTTTAAGATGATACCTGGAACTCACTAGACCTTTCACAGAAATTGATCTCACCACCTGCTCTCTCATTATTCCACAAACACATTCCCAGCTAACATGGACAGTAGCTAAGACATTACACCTACAAATTACTAATGCATTATATCAAATCACATGACTTGCTGGCTAGAGAATTTTGCACCAATCACTGCTTGAAATCTGAATTTGAGCAAATCTTGTGTTTTTAATATAGTCAGATACTGTGCCATTATGTGTCGAGACAAAGCAACGCAAAACAAAATTTAATCCACTAGGCTCCATGGTCAGTCTTCACCTGGCGAAACAAAATGAAAAGCTTCTCCAATTATTCTCATGCATGGCTAAAACATCATAATCATAAATATCATAATCTCTAAAATATATTATACCCCCTCTATTCCTTTACGTAATTCAACCAAGATAAATTGATATCATTTTATTTTTTTGGAATCCCTATACAGCTATCCAGGCATACAATCTCTGATTTGCCGTTAAGTCGGTGATTGCGTCCTCTAGCTACCCAGATGTTTTCTGAACTACAATTCTAAACATGCACAGTCAGCCTGCAGGAATCATAAATATCTGGAGTGCTATGGGTAGCAGTAACGATTTATATTTACAAAATGTATAACACAGGGGCCGGGCTTGATCTCCAAGCAGTGAGGAAGCCCTGTGCTGCAACTCTCCTGAACTGATACGGTTTTTCGACAAATGCAGCACCTCTATTTGCTACATCCACCTTTAAAGGGACACTATAGTCACCTGAACAACTTTAGCTTAATGAAGCAGTTTTGGTGTATAGAACATGCCCCTGCAGCCTCACTGCTCAATCCTCTGCCATTTAGGAGTTAAATCCCTTTGTTTATGAACCCTAGTCACACCTCCCTGCATGTGACTTGCACAGCCTTCCATAAACACTTCCTGTAAAGAGAGCCCTATTTAGGCTTTCTTTATTGCAAGTTCTGTTTAATTAAGATTTTCTTATCCCCTGCTATGTTAATAGCTTGCTAGACCCTGCAAGAGCCTCCTGTATGTGATTAAAGTTCAATTTAGAGATTGAGATACAATTATTTAAGGTAAATTACATCTGTTTGAAAGTGAAACCAGTTTTTTTTTCATGCAGGCTCTGTCAATCATAGCCAGGGGAGGTGTGGCTAGGGCTGCATAAACAGAAACAAAGTGATTTAACTCCTAAATGACAGTGATTTGAGCTGTGAAATTGCAGGGGAATGATCTATACACTAAAACTGCTTTATTTAGCTAAAGTAATTTAGGTGACTATAGTGTTCCTTTAATATGTTCCTGATGTGACAACACACTCATCTGTTTTTTATCTTGTCTTATTGTACTGATGCAAACTTAATTTTATTGTTTGTATTAATCTATACATGTCTCAATAAAAAACAGATTGACAAAAAAAGAAAAAAATGTATAATGCAATTGTGAAAAAAGAGAAACTAACAAAACTTAGTAGTGAAAGGGTTTTATTCCACTACAATAAATTATTCAAGGGGTGACCAAGCACAATGAGAAAATGGCGATTTCTTTATAAACCTCTGCTCATAACGTAAAAATGACTAAAAACATCATAAAGAAAAAAAGCTACATGTCAAACTACGTTGATAAAACAACCTTGGACTTGCGAACCCAACGATGTCTGAAGCAGAATGTCTGACGTAGATATTCTAAGATCAGGAACTATGTATATAAAACATTGTGAAATGAAAGATTATTCCCTCAATAAAGACCCCAACTAATAGCAATTCCTAATCCAGACTTCACAAGGGTTGTTTTTATATCTCATGAATTCAAACATAAAGTGATACCTGTGAATGAAAAGTAATGAATATAATGCACTTCGATAGCAAACAGTATAAACATCTCATTATTAATGAACAGGTCAAAGGTTACTCTTCCCAGGATTTCTAATACTGTCCTCAATTACATTCTCTCAGCAAAACCCAACAAAAAATAAGTGGTTGCGCCCAATCTATTTATCGAATATTGACGGAATTCAATACCAGTCGGAATTCTAGTAGCTGAAACAAATTAGTAGGTCCGCTGCTCAACAAATGAACTAAGCAATAAATGACAAATGCCAGTGTGCAAATAGTTAGAAAAAACAAATTGGGGGTCAATAATCTTTATAAGGGTTCTCCACAGGGCAAGCTCAATTTATGCATGGATCTATTTTTTGACGTCACATATTTTTTGCAATCCTTTTTTTTTTTTTAAGAGTTCCGTCAGGACATTATGGATTTTGGGGGGAGAGAGGGCATTTTTAGGAATGAAGAGGAGATCTAATGGTACTAATGTAACGTATTTTTTCAGGATTATATTATTTTACCAACCCCTCAGCCCCTTGTGGGAATGGACATAACCACCAGGGGGTATGGGGGGGCTAAACATTTTTTTACCTTCTACATTTATTTGCTTAGTGCCCAGACTTCTATTGGTTTTACCTGGAAAATTCAGAAAAAACACAAATGTTATCATTTAAATCCAAATACATACATTTTTAGCAACAATTATTCTAGGTTAAGTGTTTGCTAAATGTCTAAATTCTCATACTTTGTATAAAAATGTTTCATTATTAGTGTTGTTTTTTTCAGCCACAAAATTACCGTGAAGTGAATTTTTGGGTCTAATCTGTGAGTATTACTCCAAATCGTCTTCAGTAAGTACAAAAGTTACTTATTCTGGTAATTTTCTGGGATTTTCCAAGAATTTCACAATTTGGATGGCTATTCTGAGTGTGTTAAATCAGGTAAAGTGCATTGTTAAAGTAGACAATTTATAGATCATATCTTACTTTAAGTGACCTGAACCAGCTGTTAAATCTCTCGGAGCCGACTGTAAAACCTCTTCTTAAAGCTTTGCCTAAACGACAGGCTCAGTGATAAGAACGGGGATGTAAATAGTTGGAAATGTTTCAAGTAGTCAAGTAGCAATTGTTTTTGTCCTGAAATTTATATAAATAAAAAAAACGTAAATACAATTGCAGCGATATTGGTTATCTAATATAGACAGTCTTTAGATTGTGAGCTCATTTGTTCAGAGTCCTCTTTGTCTACTGTTCCAATATGCCATACATGTTTTGTTAAATGTTTGTCTTATCCATTGTACAGCGCTTCGGAATATATTGCCACAATAAAAATAACTGTGATTGCATTGTAATTTTTTCTTTTACCAATTTCCAAAAAATTCCATTGCCGATGTCTAATCGATGTCTAAAACAATTTCTGTTTTCTTCTGTTTCAATAAAGGTAAACATTATAAACATGTAAAAAGGATTTGGTAACCAGTCATGTTCTCCAGATAGTAAGTGATTGCTACCCCAACCAGCTGTGGATCTACAGACCTTGGACCTTGCTTCGTTACTCAGAGAAAGGATGATCAATCAATGGAAATGTTTGGACCCCGATCTACAATACACCTCATTGCTACTGAAGTAGCGGTGTCACAGTTATGTAGTTTATGAGTACTTCATAAATATACATTTTTATGAAATACTCTCTAGATTGTATGCTCATTCGAAGAGGGTCCTTGTCAACCTAGCATTCCTGTCAAAATGTGTAATAGCTTGTCTCAATTGTTCTTAATCCCCTCCCCTTCCGACACTGTACAGCACAACAAAATAAGTTGGAACTATATAATAAATACAACTTGTGTGTATACAAACTCCTACATATACCGAGTGCGGCAGACACCAGTGAAATTATCCTGAGGAAGTGCTGATAGGAGTACGGCGAAACGCGAAGACCTTTTCTGAGGTTCCCCATCAGCCATCACATTGCTGGAAGATACAATTTTCTGGCCACCGTAATTTGCGAACCATGAATGTACAGCACTATAGCAACTGTATTGAGAGGTGGGGATTTAAGCCTATTTTGGAAAAGCCGTTTATGCATATTTCTTTGTATTTGTACAAAAAACCTTTTTGAGTGTCTCTTTTGCTATTTATATGGAATATGGAATAAATATTATCTACTACCCTATGATTTGTATTTTTACCTTTTCTCTTGCTTGAGAATAATTCTGACCAGATATTCCATTGTTCTGTGGAACATTGAACCAATAAGAGAGGGAATTGATTTATCTGCGGAATATTGGTAATTGTATTATATTAATTTAAACATTGTACTGCTATGTGGCACCCTTGGGTGCATTTAGGGGTTTCAATACACACCAGTTTTATTTGTTTTAATTGAAGGTCTGTTTTGGGAGTCTATCTCTTAAGCCCAAGTATTCATCAATAAAGTATGCCTTGCTTGGTGTTAGGCACTATATAAATGGCAGTAATAATAATAATAATAATGTAGACTGCACTGGAATTTCACTGATATGCCAACACATCACAAGATATCATAAGACAAAGAAGAGACCACTTTCTTTTATAGTGAAGACCACGGCCAGATGTACCAATAGGCAGGTTAGGCACCTGCCTAGGCATCTTCTCGTGCATTCTGTGAGTCGGTCTACATTGGAACCCATGAATTTGCAGGACGCTCTACAGACCCCTAAGTTGTACTCTCTGGTTCCGGCAGGTAAAGCACCAGGGATGGATTAGAGAATGATGGTGGCACCAGCAAGGGGAAGCTTCAGATAAATATATCTCCAGCTTCAGTTTCATACCCAAGCCACCGGATATCAAATAGGGATTTCACCTTCAGAGCTATTCTCAAAATATGCAAAGAACGCTGAAAGTGACAGAGGCACTTTAATGATTGATCTTGGTAACAATGTTTCAAAGACTGCTGGTCTCAGATAGAAGGCGACAGATAATTTATTGAAAGAAACATAATGTATGTAAAACCTTTTATAACTGAAACATAAAACGCATTGTAAAATCAAGTCTATTTTTTTTAATTCTCACTTTTAGCAGTGCAAAGATAACTACACCTTAGAAAGACATAGTAACATAAATAGAATATTGACTATGTCATACAGGATTGTTGCACTCTCTTTTTTTATTATTAATATTATTATTATTTTTTTATATAAAACATGCTTAATAAACAAAGTAAACATCATGTCCTGGAGCATGAGGGTTATAAGACCAGATGCTAGTAGAGACAGTGAGATGCCAAGGACAGAGAGAACGTGCACAAGCAAAATACACATTTATAGGTTAATTGAATGCGTAATACTTGTGCCAACCAAGGAGGCACTGCTATGATCTAATAGCGATCTGGTGTCTGATAGAACAGCAGGAGACATATAAACTAAAGCAGAGAAGTATAAAAGTGGAAGCACGGCCATAGCTTGAAATCAATATATGGAGTGTCAATTGCCCTCCAAGGGCAGCTCACAGTCCCACTGGAACCATATTAGCATGCATCTTCTCCATACACAATTATTCCAGGAAGTTTGCCCCTTGAATCGATGAGGGCCTCACCAGGACGCAGTGTCCCAGATGCGGTCTCCTTTGCTAAGGCCATATCTGCCCTCTTTTTGACTGCTCCATTTCATAGGCGTTGAGGTGATCTGCTTATCAGCTTTGGATGCCCATGTGGTTTTATTCTCCGTTGCAGCCTTTAAAAAAATCTGCGATAGTGTGGTGTAGTTTAATGATGATGGGATCTCGATCTCCATGGAGCTCCAAAGCGCATGTGGCATCCGCCATCTGTGATGCTCTGGGTCTTGTGAGCCCGTCTCCAACTCTGCCGATATTTGCAGAAAGAGCAAGTGGCCCCTCGAGGTGTAGAATGGGATCACCCCACTGGTCCAGGGGGTTGGGGGGTAACGGGGTAGCACGGACGCCGTCTCTCCCATCTGGTATGTGCACTAGGTCTCATTATGCTGTGTGTTGCATCGGCATGGATTTCTGTTGAACGCTCCACCTGTGTTCCCTCCTGGCAGGATAAGGTAAGTTTCGAGCAAGTGCTGATGAAGGCTCAGAGAGACAAGAGACTCAAGAGAATTGGTGGCTAAGACAGGGGCTCTCACAAACTGCGTCCAGCCGCCATCCAAATCAAGTCTGTTTTGGTTTTGTGAATCAGACAAGAACACCTGGATGGTATTTGCATGGTTTACTTTCCATCCAATGACACTTCATGACTTCAACATATAGTAAAGGAGAAATATCAAATCTTAAAGCGTTCAATCTTCGCCTGTGTAAGTAACTCATTCAGGAAATAGATGCTCAAGACAAACAACCCATCAGGCAGTTTTGGAAAAAAAGTGACAATGTTTTGAAAGCTGAAGGAAATATGAGGGCTGCTTGAGATGAAGAAATTTCAAATTGCATGAATGGAGTGCAGAAGAAACTATGGCCAGAAACATGCAAAGAACTCCAAAGATTTCAGGTGGAACCGTTCATAGAAAATATTGCTGAACTGGGCAATGAAGGGTAATAAGAGGACGACTAGAATTAATACAATCACTAAAATCACGGAGCATTTCATTAATAATGATGCAATAAAGTAATAAATAAGCATTTTCCCAACATGCTACGAGAAACTTTAAAAAGAGAGCGGCCAGCTCTTTGCAACCACTTCACAAAAAGAAAACAAACTTGATGAGATGTCATAGGGTGAGTGCCTACAGCAAGCATGTCAAACTCAAAGTCTTGCACGGGCCACATAAACAAGGTTTAAGTTTATGTGGGCCGCAAAAAAAGCAAACCTTACATTTTCATAGAAACGTAGGTTTATTTTAAAAAGTACAGTATAAAAAAAAACAGCATCCCCCTCTACTAAATCCCAGTCTCCCCGCTCTACTAAACCACAGCATCTACCACCTTGCGCCAAATCTGATCCTCCCGCTGACACACACACATACTCACTGACAGACACACACATACAGAAACACTGACAGACACACACACTGACAGATACACACATACTCACTGACACACACACACACTTACACATTCTTGCACACACACACACACATTTCTTTATTGCTTCTTACCTTTTGGAGCCGATGTGGGACATCTCCCTGAGGGGTCTTCTATCTGCTCCTCACTGCTCCCTCGTGTGGTTTAGTGATGCCGGGTGCCGGAATATGACGTCATATTCCGGCGCCCGGCTTAACTACAGATGGCGCGCACGAGGGAGCAGTGAGGAGCAGGAAGGCTGAGCTCCCTCGCTGCATCCACCGTCCCTTCCTCCCCAGCCGGGTAAGTGTTAGCAGAGTAGGCACCTGCATGTACTCTCGGCTTGCCGGGCTGCAAAGATGATACTGGTGGGCCGCATGCGGCCAGCGAGTTTGACATGCTTGGCCTACAGAGATCCACAAGAGAACCGTCCATAGGATCCAAAGGATGAAGTCCCTAAAGCCAGGTCCCTATTCTAAGATGTAATGCCCACATCCACTGCTTCTGTCCCACTGGTTCAAAAAATAGCACTGTGCTGTATAAATATAGAATGCAATGTATTACTATAAAATTCACTGTATTAATGTAGAATGCACTGTATTACTATAGAATGTAATGTATTAATATAGAATGCACTGTATTTTCTATGTTTCTATGTTTAATATAGATTGCACTGTATTTTCTATGTAGAATGTAGAATGCACTGTATTACTATAGAATATAGACTTTAATGGACTATATTACTATAGAGTGTACTGTGTTAATGTAGAATGCACTGTATTGATATAGAATGCACTGTATTACTATACAATGAACTGTATTGATATATAATGCACTGTATTACTATAAAATGCACCATATTACTAAAATATGCACTGTATTAATGTATAATGCACTCTATTCATATAGAATGCATTGGATTAATGTAGAATGCACTGTATTACTATAGAATGCACTGTATTAAAGGACCACTATAGTGCCAGGAAAACATACTCGTTTTCCTGGCACTATAGTGCCCTGAGCGTGCCCCCACCCTCAGGGTCCCCCTCCCGCCCGGCTCTGGGGAGAGGAAAGGGTTAAAACTTACCTTTTTTCCAGCGCCGGGTAGGGAGCTCTCCTCCTCCTCTCCGCCTCCTCTCCTCCGCTTTGGCTGAATGCGCACTCGCGGCAAGAGCTGCACGCGCATTCAGCCGGTCTCATAGGAAAGCATTTACATTTACAATGCTTTCCTATGGACGCTTGCATCTTCTCACTGTGATTTTCACAGTGAGAATCACGCAAGCGCCTCTAGCGGCTGTCAATGAGACAGCCACTAGAGGATTTGGAGGCTGGATTAACCCATTTATAAACATAGCAGTTTCTCTGAAACTGCTATGTTTATAGAAGAAAGGGTTAATCCTAGAGGGACCTGGCACCCAGACCACTTCATTAAGATGAAGTGGTCTGGGTGCCTAGAGTGGTCCTTTAATGTATAATGCACGGTATTTATGTAGAACATACTGTATTAATGTAGAATGCACTGTATTTATGTAGAACATACTGTATTAATGTAGAATGCACTGTATTTATATAGAATGCACTATATTAATATAGAATGTACTGTATTAATATAGAATGCACTGTATTCATATAGAATGCACTGTATTAATGCATAATGCACTCTATTCACATAGAATGCACTGTATTAATGCACTGAATTAATGCATAATGCACTCTATTCATATAGAATGCACTGGATTAATGTAGAATGTACTGTATTCATATAGAATGCACTGTATTAATGTAGAATAAACTCTATTACTATAGAATGCACTGTATTAATGCAGAATGTACTCTATTAATATAGAATGCACTGTATTAATATAGAATGCAATGTATTAATATAGAATGCAATGTATTAATGTAGAATGCACTACATTCATATAGAATGAACTGTATTAATATAGACTGTATTAACTGTATTAATATATTAATATAGAATGCACTGTATTACTATAGAATGCACTGTATTACTACAGAATGCAATATATTAATGTAGAATGTACTGTATTCATATGGAATGCACTGTATTAATGTAGAATGAACTATATTACTATATAATGCACTGTATTATATAGAATGCACTGTATTAATATACATTATATTGAATTCATATAG